AGACAGACACAAAGGTAGAGTGAAAAAGGTGAGGTGAGTACTGTGAAAGTAGTCGAATATGACATACAGTGTGGTGATGGTAGTTAGAAGGCGGAGGTCAACTGCCGAATAATAGATTTTTTGTCGTATGAGTTTACGTTGCCCAGGGTGTACCACGTGGAGGTAAGTCTATCACACACCCCTCAGGAGAGATAATTGAATCCAATGCTCCCATAAATGACTCTTGTAACCATTTGGTTCCGTCTTTTTTTACTGCGCTAACCCATTTGTTTCATCTTTGGTAGGAATTTATTTTTAGCCTAAAGTTTTAAAAACGAAGTCCAGTTCCTTAGCCGTTTCGTTGCTCGTGCCTGGTATTGTAGTTTCTCGTCACTGCTACAATTATTGGCTGATACCGTAGCCAATTACTTATTTCGCTTTCCTATTCTACCCAGGCGCATTTATTTCATCAACAAAACGTACTGGAAACATTGGGTGGGTTACAGGGCATCTCTTCCGGGTCAAAAATTAGTAGGCTTCGTGTAACATCAGTGGGAATCTAGGCCATGTAAGCGATGATGAAGCTTCGTGATACCTTTGCCATGGACTCTTAGTGTACATTAATGATTTCGAGTGGAAATGAAGAAACCGAAGTTTTTACCGTATCTTCTCTTCCTTAAAGACGATTATCAAGTAATTTTCCCTCGAATTAATCCATAGTAATGTTAATAAATAAATACAAATTTCCTAAGCATTTTAAGTGTATTAGAGAAAAGAGTGCAAACATTAGGAATTTGGGAAAGTGGAAGTGATTATTAATAGTTAAGTAGTATTATGAACTTTTAGCGGAATGAATGGTTTACGTCGATTACTCTCATTGGCTCGCCCCGCAGTACCAATAACACGCCGAATTCTTCCACCTACCATTGGAGCATTAGGTGTTTATATACTTATGCAAGGGGACTCATCATTCAACTTTGCCGACCAAATTCGTCAATACACTATCGATCTTACTAATACCAACCGTCTCAACAGTATGATGACTGCTAAAGCCGAGACCAAATATAAATGCCAGGATATGGTTGGTTTTCGCTACTTCACATCCAATTAATTATCAACTACTTTATGTTTACAGGTTATTGAACCGGATAAAGAGCATGGACTCTTCTTGATTATTCATTTGGATTCAAGTGCTTCACTTAAAGAATGCCTCAAAGCCCTTCAGAATATCAAAGTTCGTTTGAGTCAATTATATCACAAAGATTTTCAAATTTCAATTATATATAATATGAGTTTAAGAAGGTTTGTGTAGTGTCGAAATTGGGCTCGAATTTAATAGTACTAATTATTCAGTGCCCCACTTGTTGGTACTTATGATTAGATCAGCTGTTTGACATCGAATGACCATGTCGCTTGATCTATTTTCTATTTAAATGAACAGGACCATGTCGATAGAATTTCGCCCCTTGACATTCGAGATGAAGACAATGAAGTGATATTCGGCATAGCCTTTGGGCCTGAAATCCTTGAAAAGATCTATCCGAATGCAAAGAAAAACGGCGTCGAACCATTTGAATTCAAAGAACGCAAAGGGAAGAATTCGAGTATGCCTTCTACTGGTAAGTTGTTAACTTAAAGACCGGAATCTTGACTTCAGGGTGTGAGATTTCGAAAGAGTCTGGTCCGCAGGTTTTGGTTTTCCTAATTACCAACAGCTGTTGTAAAGTGTTTTGGAGGTTTCTTGAGGAAAATTTTTTCTTTAGAGTATATGTAATAAGGATGAGTTCCAGATTGCACCTTTAGAAAAATCGGAAAATGCGGTCTGATGAATGTCAAATTGCATTTGATAAAGCAGGATCATCTTCAGAGCAGTTATTTTAAATCTATTGAAGTTATTTTTATAAAACAGAAAGTGTCTGGATCAAGGAATAATTTCATATATTAATCAAATATAAAGATACGCTTCAAATAGCACACAACACTTGATTCTGTTTTAGTTTCAAATCGTATTTGCAGATTCATATTTAATTTCTTACACACTCGAATCTCCATTGTGCATTTTGTATTGTAGATCTTAGTTGATCTACCACCACTCTGCCCTCGAATTGCTTGTTTTTAAATCCCGTAGTATACAGAGCACTTGAAACTTTCTAGAATATTCAAACGTCTACGGTTCCTCATAGGGCCAACCTTTTAACCCAAAGGTTGAATTATTAATAACCATTCTTTAACTGGTTAGGAAAACATCCGTTTAAAATAATTGATGCTATGGCGTACTTTATTTCCCTCATTAGATGGGGTGCTATAACAACAACGGTTACTATTGGGAACCACTTTTAACTCAGAAGAAAAATTCGGGCAGTTTTGTGACTACACGTACTGATCATAAAACTAGTTTAAAGTGTTTAATTCAAGTCATTCAAATTTTTATAAAATTCTACCATTTTTTCTTTGGTTCCTTAATATATGTTAAATCCTTTATCGAAATAAATGGGTGGATTTCGAAAAGTGCATATTGAATCACATGTCCAGAGGTAATTGTTCTGCTGAGATCTTGTATCATCGCAGTAGTAGAAATAACTTTTCAAACGTTGAGATTGACGATAATCACTAATATTGAATTAAGCTTCTTTTAAACGTAATCTTAAACTGTTGTTGAAGTGTTTCACTTGCCTTTCAAGGCAACGGGGTGGACATCCCGGTAGGGATAGGCTTTCAAGATCGCAGATTTGCATTTTTATTGCTCTTCAATTGCACAATCCAGTTTAAATTCGTCTAGCCGCATAGAAAAGCGTTTATATGCGTAGAGCAATTTTAAGGCTTGGATAGTAGTGCTTATTAGTGTCACAGAGTCGTTTCTTCTTTTATAGCCAAGTTAAAACAGTAGAGCTCACCGGGGTTCACATTTTAATAATAAAAGTTTGATTAATCAATGAACAGTTGTAGTAGTAGTTTGGTTATCAAAAATTTATTGTCTTAAAATCTGCTAATAATATGGATGCACTTTGAGAAATTTTGGTGAAGTTATAGAAGTCTGTTCAATTCCGTGTTATTATTGAGTTCTAGTTTTCTTCCAGGTAATTGGGGAGATTAATCATGTTCATCACTTGCTTCCTGTTTTCTTTTTATAAGGCGGTGACATTTTGGTGCATGCAACCTGTGGCGAAAAGGGCAAGCTCTTTGAGTTGGCTCAAGCCGTTTTGGGTGATATTCCAGAGTCGGCTATCAAGAAAGTGGAAGAGACGTATGGATTCGTCTACAGAAATGGTCGTGACTTGAGTGGCTTCATCGACGGTAAGCCGTGCTGGGCATTTAGCCTCTCATATAAAACCTTAATTCATGTATATTGACTTCTCTCTCTCCCTCATGATATATCAAAGATTCGGTAGTGCTGATTGGTGTGTGTCTGATAGGGAACTCCATCTTTACGACTGTATGTCCTTTAATCAGAGACACGCTTTCTTCAGACGCTGATGTCACACATTGTCGTATCTCATTATCATGATTTTATTCTCTAGGAACGGAGAATCCAGCCGATGAAGATGAGCGTATTGAAGTTGCCCAAAGTAAAGCCACAGGTGGTAGCTACGTCTTAACGCAAAAATGGCAACATGATCTGAAAAAAATTCGCAATGAGAGCCGTAAGTTCGAATAACTCTTTGTGCCATATAGGAGTTATCGACCTCATTTTAATGTGCTTCTATTTTCTGGTGTAATAGAAAAGATAATGGAGTCTAAAATTGGCCGTACGAAGGAGGATAGTATCGAGATAAAGCCAGTCGCGCCTAAATCCCATGTTGGTAGAATGACCCATGGTAAGAATTTGCCTGCCTAGTTATTGACAGTGTCAGTAGTACAATTCTACTGCCTTTTTTGTACCCATGACTATTTCAGAGTGCTCAAGTTCCCTTGCACACTAAATTAAAAAAAACTGGCATAATTTTTTCGAAATGATTGATGAGTCAATGCAGGAGACCTTGCCTGCCATCATTCATTATATTCGCCTGCCTATTTCAGGTCTGTCTGATGAGGAAGCCGAGGACAGGCGCATAGTTCGTCACTCTCGTCCCTACGGCTTTGCCTCGGGACAATGTGGTCTCTACTTTATCGCCTACTCCAAGACACCCAAAACGTTGAACTGGATGCTTGACAGAATGGTTGGTTTAACGGGTGATGGCAACGAAGATGGTCTATTTCATTTCACCAAAGCTGTCACTGGAACCTACTTCTACTCACCAAGTAAAGCGGAGTTGGAGAAGATTCTAAAAGAGGGTGGTACCAGGAAATTCAGGCCATTCTAAATTTCTTAGTGTTTGTAATTAAGATTGTTGACTCATTATTAAATAGATTTTGATTCCTTTTTCTGCAAGATAAATTTAATTCCTTAATTAAAATATGACTGTTATGATTTAGAGCTATTGATTTTGACTGAATATTTATTTATTTATTTCAAACGGCAGGCGTTTCGATAATTATCATTAGCCCTTTAGCTGACTTCGGGCTTCACAGAGGGGAGAAATATCAAAGTGGGAAAAATTCGAGAGGAGGGGCAGAAGAGTAATTCAAAGATGTAAGACAGACAGACACAAAATCAGAGAAAAGGCAAGATGAGTACTGTGAAAGTGGTCGAATATGGCATACATTCGGGTCATGATAGTTTGAACTGAGAAGTCAACTGCCGGTTAATAGACTTTTTTTGCCGTATGAGTATACGTTGCCCAGGGTGCACCACATGTAGATAAGAGAATATAGGTGCTACTTTACCTTAATGGGTTGGACAATAGTTAGAAAACACGACTGGAGTAACAAC